CCCCAAAACCCCAAAACCCCAAAACCCCGAAGTGCTATATTCATATAATGAAGCATTAACAAAGAGTTTACATATAAATTAATACTTAAGCAGTCTCCTTATATTTCATGGTCATCTATGAGAATTATTATTTGAAATGAGCAATAGATTGTGATTTGACGATAATTAATCATCTATAGAATACTTGAATAAGTCTTCTTCTTCATCTAGAGATAGCCTTGAATCCATTCTTTTACTGCTAATTACATCTCCATTATTGCTGCTAGAGAAAGAAGGTCTGTGGTTTACATTCAAATTTTATTATTATTAGAGCTATTGGCGCTTTTACTATTCAAGCTGCTAAATCTGCTCATTTTTAATGATGTTTTATTTGATTAGTTCAATTTATTAAAGGATCATTTCTTGAGTTAGCATAGAAGACACAGGCTGTTACATTTATTGAGCAGTGTATTAAGGATTTTACATCATTTGACCATTTTGCATCTATTAGTTATATTAATAAGGGTAAAAGCCATGTCCCATAGGTAAAATTTATTGTGGCAAGCCAATAAACTATCCATTCACCTGCATTTGATATTGATTTTAAAGCATACCTAACTATTAATAGTAAGGATTTGTTTCTTATTTAAACTATGGATGAGGAGCTTAGACTTAAGCAATATTTTGATGGCCTGAGGTAATCTCAGTCAAAGGAAAACTCGGTCTGCTTTAATTTTGGTTCTTAGGAGTACTAATGGTCGGAGATGCACTACATTAAATCTTACTGAAATGAGATTACTCTTGGTAGCTGTGATCATTGTTGCCATGATCAATTAGCTGTAGTCTCTAGTCAAGGTATTTGTTAATTGCATCTTGGTTAAGATTAGGATTGGCTTGCAGCTACTTTAGAGCTTCTCTCCCTCCGGTTGAAGCAAGCGACTGCCTTGTTTCTATCTTTTTAACTTATTCAAGATTCTAAAAATGTTTGATACTTATATCTGTTTCAAAAGTTGGAGAGCAAGTTTAAAGCAGGATCTTATTTGGAGTATCATGATTTCGACTTAACTTAATTTCTGTATGATTCTAGGTCTTTTAGTTTGAGAGCTAATATTTGGTCTAAATAAACATATTAAGCTTCTCTCTCATTTACTCTTAACTTGATTTACGGCCCTTAGATTTCAAATACTTGCCTCCATGCTTGCCTCCTTTTGGAATCTTAGGTTTTTTATTAGAGCATTTATTACCCTTATCCATGAATATTGCTTATGATTTTTTACCTTTAGGAGTAATTTAAGGTTTCATCTACTTCAATTTCAACTTATTTGCTTTCATAACCTATTCTTGTTTCCTTATCAAAGATTCTCTGCCGTTTTGATAGAGTCTTTCTCCAACTTGTTCAATTTCTTAAGAATTCTTTCTCATTTGATTCATAATTTTTAATGTACCTGGACATAGCTAGATTGTCTTCTATAATGACTGTTCCTGAACTTTGATATTTTCTTGGGCTGTAAGTTATATTTTTTACTTTTTTGACTTTTCCCAATCAAGCAAGTCATTGACGTTTCTTTCTAAACTTTGCGATTTTTTGGATATTCTTGGTGTGAAGTTAACACCCTTCTCAATCATTATCATTCCTCTTTTTTAGCTTAAACTTTTTTCTTTCTATCAAAATATATTAATCATATTCTTACATTCTTTTCTATTTATCTACTGTATGAGGATGTGCCTCTTTCTCTATCAAGACTTCTTGTCATTCTATCTTGATAGCCATTTCTGCTTGACTTGCTTTTAAGAGTTTGAGGTGGCCTCTTTTTTAGTTCTGTCAACTCTTGTTCTCTTTTCTATTATCTCAAAAGGCTTATCCTATCTTGAGACTGTTTATGTCTTTCATCAAGATAAGTTTTGTGGTCCATATATAATAAGGAAACTTTATGCTAATCTTTTGAAATAGTACTAGATAAGTATTGTTTCTTTCCAGTGTCTTCAGTGTTATAATACTAAGCTTTTATTATAGGTGTATGCAAACTGCTTTCGTTTTGAGTATTTCTAGCTATAAAATTTACTATAATTCAACTTAACTTACTATGAATAGATGAATCTAGCTTTTAGGCTTCATAATGTCCATATGGATTGGGTTTTTAGTTATGATTGTTTATGTTTCCATTCACTGTTATCTTACTAAGCTAATTTTGCAATAAATTTATGACTTGCTATTAACTTCTCAGCTACTCTTCAAATATTTTCTATTACTTTGCCAAGATTTCATCATGCTGCTTTATTTAATCAATGAGGATCATTTACAAATCATTTCCATTAATTTGATTCGGGCCATTGTTACTAATCTGACTTCCAGAGATACTGCTTATACCTTAGAAAGATGGCTAATATCTCCTTTGCTCTTATTATTATTGAAATAATGGTGATACTTTTTAATTTTGAATCTGATTCATATTGCTTTGAAAAGTAAACTGTGTGTTCTTTTAAGCAGAGACAAAAGAAGACTCAGTATCTGCACTTTAGTTGTGCTATTAAGGAGTATATAAAGCTGTATGAGTATGAGTTTTGTAATTAGGTTTTCTAAGAGAGAAGTCATTAATCATTTTTATATATTTAAATTTAACAATTCATTAACTGCCATTTATTTCTTCAAAAGGGGTTTTGGGGTTTTGGGG